ACAAGTTGGGGTGCTCTCTGCCTCACCTGACTTTCACATCTTCATCTTTACCCAACCTCTCCCCTGCAAGGTCAAACCTTCCTACTGAAGGTTCCAAGCAAAAGACTCTAGAAGGGCCAACTCCTGTTTTTATCTACTTCACTTTCAAACAGTTAAAACAGTTAGCCTTGCTGTTGCTTTGTTTTCTTTTTACCACAAAGCACTTCTTTCTCAAGTAGTAGCTAGTGCTAGTGTAACATTCCAGGGTCAGTGGGTCTGCAAGCTTGTCAATACATTCATGGCTTCATGTGGGAGAGTTTGCAATAGTTTTTTTTAAGTACACTTTTGATTGGCCAGGTCTCTTCCAATTTCAGAGCAGAGAGCTAAAGCCCTACCAAACAGTCAAAGCCTTACCCCACTAACTAGCTCAGGTTAGCCCTTTCCCTCTTAGGAGACTATAAACTACAACATCAGAGTACCCAAGTTGACTTAATCTAACCCACTGAATACAAGCATGGAAGGTGCTAAGCAAATGGGCAAATACAAACACACATGCAAGCATGCAAACACACACACACACACACACACACACACACACACACACACCTTTTATCATCTCTATTCTGGCTCCTGCTCTTAAAAAAACTTAAATATATCTTGGTCCTAGAGATCACAATTGCAACCTTGATTTTCTATTCTCTGTTGATGATTATTAATATTTAATATTATCTTTTAGTTAAACAGTGGTTATTACTAAACCAGCTGCATATCCGAATTACCACACAGAGACTAAGATTTATTTAATTAACCTTGAGCACAATGCTGAGCAATAATTACTCCATCCTAAACCTCCAAGCCAGCATAGCTTCCTCTCATTCAGATGTCCCACATTATACTTGCCTTTTAGTCATATCTTAGGTCCGGTTCATTTCTCCTGATGTTTCCATGTCCTCCCTGTTGGATCTCACCTCCCATTCCTTTCTTTCTCCTCCCCAGGACCAGGATGTCCGACCCTATTCTCTCCATTTCTCAGCATTGGCTGGTTGTTTTATTGACAATACAGAGAACAAATGGTGGCATGTTTATACAAACTTGAGATAGGTTTGTTTAGAATAAACATCACAGTGCAATGTCCAGATTGAAACCAGACAGTGGGGTAGAGAAATCAGCATGTGAATGAACAAGGGTAAATTGTATACATTCCACAAGAACGTTAATTATACCAACAATTCTCTCTAGTACTCTTTGGACAGCATAGCTCCACTGTTGATTCTCTTCTACACTACATGCAGTCAACCCCCACACTAAGAGGGTTTGCCTTTAGGTATGCAACCAATACTAAGAACACGTGTCTAGGGCTACAGAGATGGCATGGCAGTGAAGAAAACCTGCTGCTTTTGCAGAGGAACTTAATTAGTTTCCAGTGGATACACACAGTTTACAAGTGTCTATAATTTCAATTCCAGGGAATCCAGTGTCTTCTTCTGATACCTGGGGTACAGGCATGCATACAGTGCACTTTACATTCAGGCAAAACACTCATACACATAAAGTAAAACTAAGTCTTTAAATAAAATAAAATATAAAATTTTTGTCTCTACTAAACATGTAGACATTTTGCTCTGCCGTTTACTGTCTAAGCAGCACACTGTAGTATTTGTGCACCATTTACATTGCAGTAGTTATTATAAATAATCTAGAGGTGTCTATACAGGAGGTTTATGTAGTTTCTATGCAAACACTATACCATCTTATAAAGAGAGCTCAGACATCTGTAGAAATTGGTATTAAGGGGGAGGGACCTTAAAACCAATCCTCCACAAATACCAAGACCAAGGAACAATCTAGAGGCTTACACCACAACACACAATGGTAGACAGACATGTGCAGGCATACTCCCATTATCAGTATTATAAAACTCTTTCAACAGTAAAGAAAGTTGAGACTAGGATGGAAGTGGTTATAATGCAAGAACCTTGTTCTGGTGGGAAACACAGCGATAACTCTATCTGGAACTAAAGCTGACAAAATACGATTTATTCTAACAGAAGGCTGCTTTGCCCTTACCATGCTTAATTTTTAAGTAACTGGGTTCTTTTTCTCACTGCTATGTAATCATATAGTGAAATCCCAGATGGCATTCATGTATACAGAGGGCAGACTTAGGCTTGAGAAGGGATCCTTTATTTGCCTTCCTAATAGCTTTTGAAAGGACAGGGTTGGAAAAGGCTATATGGAAAAAAAAAATGGGCACCAAAACATTTGTTTATGTTTAATAGAAATACAGGGTAATCAACTAGTTTTTGTGGAACTTGTCCAGAAACCATTTTGCCCCCTTTCGATTACACAGAGCATGAGGCTAAGGTACAATCTCTAGCAAGAAGCTCTTTCAAGTTACTAACCTTCCCACTCCAAGCTTTCCTTTCCTAGAAATTCTCTTTTGCCAGCTGCCATGCCACTGACTATTCACACATGATGTACACTGGGGTTTCCATGCTGCTCTGTCTCCCCTACTTCCAGTAACCTAGGAAACTCAAAGTCATACTTTGAACACACCTGCACTGTAATAGTATTCAGCTTGCAGGAGTGGATAGCTACCTGCTACCTCTGATCAACAATGAGCCAAACGAAGAACCTTTATGACCTCAGCACAGGGCAAGGCACTGGCCACAAAAAATTCAGAACCAATCACTACTTGTTACATTCAAAGTCTTCTAAATATACATTAAGCATAGTTAACTCTATTGGAATCTACCTACTGATTTCCAAATATCAGCATCACACTGGCCAACACACAAGACTACAGCAGTGAAACCATACCACAAACCACCATTGTGCCAGCCTCTCCGAGAATCTCTAGCCACAAAGACACCTTCACCTTGCTCACCGACCCTACAGAAGGCCAGCATTCTACCTCAGTTTCTTCCTCCACCTCCGAATTTGAGGGTGTTCCTCAAATTCATTAGACTACCTTCATGCCTTAGGTCCACAGCCAAGATGCTCTCAGGCTTTCAGTGGTTACTCCATGACAACTCTTAACAGTATTTCCTTCTTCTAACCTCTTACCCCTTGGCTATGCTGAATCTATGAGAATTGATCTATAAAGCTCTAAAAGAAGGATAAGACTCCGTGTTGATCATTTTCTTAGACCACAATACCAATTCTCCTTAAACTACCTACATATGTATTATACTTATGAGGAAAAGGTCACAGATGCAATCTAACAGACCCCACAATTCAGGGCAATGAAATAACTTGCAGAATTTTGCAGATTCTGAATGAAATCTAATCCTACATGCTGAATCAGGCTTTTTAAGAATCAAGTAGGACCTAGATCTTCATGAAATTTGTCTTTTGGGTACCAACATTCTAGAATGGGCAGTTTCTTAGACTCTTCCTTTTTACCTTGTATGTCTTTCATAACAGTTGTTACGTGTAAACCTGGGCCAAGGGGCTTTGTTCTCCAGGGAGATACGTTATCTTCTAATTCTGCTGGAAGAATCCCTGACACTAATGATTTAACACTGTTAAAAGTGCAGAGAGCATCTAAGTCCAACCATGCTATCAAATGCTATGCTACCATCTGTGTAAGGAATGTACTTTTAAAGGAATGACAGCAAGAAATTTTAAGTTTGATGGAATTAATTTCAGAGATGTCTTGAAGTGTTATTTTTGAAGATTGAGTTATATAGTTCAAAAGCCTCATCCCCACCCTCATATCCCAAGAAGGAGATATAGCTCATTATATACAGAGCACTTGCCTAACACATAGGAGGCTCTGGGTTTGAACTTGAGAACTACAACGGGGATAAGGGACAGTTACAAGCACTGTTAGGTTATTTAAAGTTAGCATGAACCAATGTTAAAAAGGTAAATGTATAGCCCTTATATACTTAACACTGTAACTAAGTCTTAGGAGATTTTCCCATAACACTTTGCAGTTAATATCCACATTGTCCACATGACACTGTAGATTAAACCAGGCCCACCATCTAAACATTGGAATCCACTCACTAGTGCAAGCACAAACTGGGCACCAAACACTTAAGATCTTGAGCTTTAACCATAAGCATGGTCATTTCTAGCATCTGTCCTTGTGCTTTGGCGGTAGAATAGAAAACTAATCCCACACCTCACCCCACCCCATCCCGCACCCCAGGGTCCTGTAGGTGGCTGAAGGATGGAGACACTGAGAAAAGCAGCCTCCTGCCTTAAAGCATTGACTTTAAAGATCAGCTCAGGGACAGGGAAAACCTTGGTGACCTAGAAGAGAAGCATTCTCATGACCTGAGAAGATCATGAGATCCTCCTTAACTTTATTTCTAAGGCTCTTCCAGTTTCAACTTAAATGCCAAAGGAATCCACATGCTTTCACATTAAAAATGTTAGTCCACGATCTGGACCACTTCACGAAGCACAGAGAGCAACACTTGCAGGTGCGCTGTGCTCACCCACACAAGTGGGAGTCTCTACTTCAGAAGCCTCTCTCTCCTATTAGGGCAGTTTGTCTCTGTTGTTTGACTCTCTGGAAAATTGGCTAACATCTAAGTCCTCACAGCTTCTGCCCCTGTGTTCAGAGCCTTTCCTTCACTGAATGGAATTATCAGGCCGAAGCTAGATAAATGAGTGTTCTCAAGCAATTTTCACTAAGGTAAAACACTCTTCAAAAATAATGGTACACAAGAGATGTGTGAAACCTTCATGCAAGTTTTTAGTCTCCCCGCCCCCTGCAGTGAGGGTCCAGCATGTCACCCATTTGTGAGAGATGAGAAAAGAAATCACCACTTGTTCTTTTCCTAAGTTAGAAACTTCCCCTATCTTAAACCTATCAAAGTGAAAAAAGGCAGAGGCGAAGTGGAACATCAGCCTCAAACGACACTTCCAACGGACTGAAATAGGCACTTTCGGTCCCCACCTGTGTCAGAAAAGGCATCTACATTTAGGTGACATGCCACTCCCTCCAGTCCCAGCTCTCCCCTTAAAGAAAGAAAAGAGTATGAGTTCTCTCTTGGGACACTTACATAAGACCCAGTAGAACTTCCTGTGACATTCACGGAAAACATAAGCTGCTATTTTGCTCCTTCAGGAGACCATGTTAATGGACTGAGTGACAAAATTCACGGATTCAGAATTCGGCAGAAACCTACTCAACCGAGGTACGTCAGCACTGGAACTAGAAAAAAAAAGTGCATTCCCATTAAACAGGGTCACCCAGGGGATGAACTGGGTGTGTAAAAGACAATCTGTTCCCTCTGAAGTGACCCACTTAAAATCAGATTGTTCCGGAGGAAGCACATAGGTTTAATAAATCTCACACAGGCAAAGACATGGCTTGCAGAAAAGAACTGTCCTTACACAAAGGGAACATTTCAAAGCGACGAACAGCTTAACTTCATGATGCACAAACTTTAGAGTCATCATCCCAACCTCCAGAAGCAATGACATTTACAGGAAGCTCTGGCTAGACACTGATCACTACAAGAAGTTTAGTCTAACAGGACAGACCAGGTGTGCTGGTTGGATCTTCCCTACGGGTATCCAAACCAACCAACCACTCTTTCCTAAAGAGCTTCTTGCAAAATGTAGGTTCACACCCCCCACTCCCACGGCCTCTCTTCAACCAACGGGAAAGAAAAGTTCTCCGGGCATCCCATCATAAAAGACAGGTGAACGTCGCAGAAAGGCAAGGAGGGTCCCCCCCCCCCCCCCTCTCCACGCTGCTCCTGCCTACCAACATCCTGTCAGGCCCTGAAACAAGTCCCGGGGACACCGGAGACTCGGGGTCTTCCACCTCCTGCTTTTCAGAGACCCAAGCCAAGCCAAAAACGGTGTGCCCACCCTCTTTGCCAGTATCCTAAGCACACCGGATACCAGCTACAGGTTTGGATAACTTGTCGGGCACTGCTCACCAAAGCAGCCCCACGGAGGTTCTCGCGAACGTCTGGGCTCTTACCTTGGTCTTGACTACCTCAGGCAGAGGGACATCCAGACAGCTGAAGGAACGGTGTGGTGCCTCTGACGCCTACTAAGTGCAGGGGGTTCGGGTGGGGATCCCAGCTGGCACTATTTTAATGCGACCATCGATGCCAAGCACAGACTTCGGGACAGCCTTGGGCTCCAACTGCCACAGGAAAGGTCCGCCTGGTCGAGAATGAGCACTGTCCCCTCTTTCTCCTCCTCCGGGGCGGCTGCCGAGAGCTGCTCCACCGCAGAAGGACTTCTTCCAAGCCGGGGGGACGCCTTGCATGGGCAGGGGCCTGGAGACGCCCTGGGTTGGGTCCCGGGAACCAGAGCTGGGAAGAAACGCGGAGCTAGAGCTCCGCCGGCTCCACCACCAGCGACCCCGGCCGCTTTGCCCCTTCAGGGTAGGGCCTGCCCGCAACCGGTCCAGCGAGGCGAGTGCGGCCGCGCCCCCAGCTCCGGAGAAGCAGCTAGACCGGGGGGTAGGTCAGCCTGGCCGGGAGGCGAGCACGGCGAGCGAGCACGGGGACGGGCGGTAGCTGCTTGCGGCGACCCTCCTCCCGGGCCTGCACCGCCCGCCCGCGGCTCCGCAAGAAGCGGGCGCCGAAGAGAGCCTCGCCCAGGCCTGGGGCGCGGGATCGGGGTCGCGTGGCCGGCGTAGGCGCCCCTTGGAAGGTCACGGCCGCGGGGCGCGGCGAGCGGGACGCCGCACGGTGGGTGCGGGGAGCCCAGGAGGGCGGCCCCCGCCGCCGCCTCCGAGACGCGCCGGCTTTCCGGAGCGCTCGGGTTTGGAGCCGCGCGTCCGCTGCAGACGCTGTGGACAGCCCAGACCTGCGAACGGACAGGCGCGCGATCCCCGCTTCCCGCGCGCGGCCGGGCGGGAACCACCGTGCGGGGACCGGCTTGGGAGCGCGCTGCCGGGCGCTGGGGTGCGAGCTCCCGGCTAGTCCGGCCGCCGCCGCGTGCCCAGAGCGTCCGGCTCAGCAGCTGCAGTGACTGTGTGTCTGTGTCATGTCTGTGCAGCGGGGGGTTGGGGGGGTTGGGGAGGGTTACCGCGATCCGGGGCCGGCTTTCGAACGGGGGCGGTCCCGGAGCCCGCCCCGAGGCCCCGCCCCCGTCCCCGTGACCTCACGGACAACCAATAGGCGACACCACGAATGTGCGTCTGAAGTGCCCGCCCTGCCTCGGCCACGCCCACTGCCAAGCGCCTCCCTTCGGCTCCTTGGAACGCTGGAACGCAGGCGGAAGCAACACCCGGAGCCGGGATCCCGGGCCGGGTCGCGCGAAAAGGGTGCTAGCTGGAGCTCCCCGCCCTTCTTCCCCCACCCCACTCTGGCTGCTCCCGGCTGCCCCGCGCTTGGCAGAAAGAAGGGGTAGAGAGGCGGGCCGAGTCCGCAGCTGCTACTGTAGGGATGGCTGCAGGCAGGGTCCCCGTGCCACCCTTTTGACAAAATAGCAGTCTTTGGAAAGTAGGAAGTTTCCCCCGCTTTTCTTTCTGCTGGGGACCCTAGGTGGGCAGGGTATGGGGCAGCCGGAGCTACGGGGAGGCCTACGGAACGTTTTGACAACATCTTGTTTGGATTTTGGATCCAAGAATACTGTACAAGACTTTTTTTTTTTTTCAGGGGTAACTACATTTTGTGTCCTCCCCAATACACACATATACACACAAGTGCCCCCCCCCTTCTAATTTTATCCTTGCTCAGAACCCCGTGTGTAACATCCCACTGGTGGGACGTCCAACCTCCGGGTGTTAATGGCGAGGGAAGGAATGCCCAGGTTGCGGAAGGAGCGTGTGAGTCTGGTTAAGGTAAAGGGATGTCCATCGGGAGAACACCCCCGTGAGGCTGAAGCGGAGCCTGGGAGAGAAAGAGGACGCGGGTGGGTCGACAATTCCGACTGCAAGACCGAGCTCCGAGAGCGCGATCCAGCTCCCGGGTTTTTCCTCAACTTGGTCCCATGGCTTCTGGGGTCCCCTTCCCCCGAGCCCCTAATTCTAGGAGTCACTGGGTCTCCGCCTTCCGGGGCGCCTCTCTGCGGGCAGCCCTTCCGCTTTCTCTTGAAGGCTGGGGAGGATGGAGTGTGGAGGGGTGCGTAAGAAAATGTCCATTAGCCAGGGCGCTGCGCTGACCATCCTACCCGAGGTGGGGCGTCACTCCACCCTGGAAGCCGGGGACCACCAGCACCCAAGCTCCGGCCTCCGTACCGACACCCCTGGGCTGTCTTTTGACCCTGCCGGCACTCTTCCACCACCCCACCCGGGCTTCTCTCCAGCCTCTAGAAGCCGGGACCCCTTCCACCACCAGCAGAGGCTTCTCCCGTGTTCCCACTGCTGTTTACCTAATCAGTGGTAGCCCCAGTCGAGGAGGATTCGAAAGGAAGGTAGCGGTTGCACAGCAAAGTCCCTGGCAAAGAAGTAAACGTTGCTTTGGAGCTTCATGATAGTTAACTGCGATGCCCGGGTCCTGATGTCTTATCTCTACTAGGAAGAGTCTCGCAGGGATAGCAGATCGTATCTGCTTTTGATGCCATTATTGTGTCGGAGAAGAACATTATATGATAAAATATTATCTAATATCCTAGTAGCCATTAAAGTGTCAAAGTTTAATGCCAAGCCTTTTAGCTCGAAGGCAGCTCAGTTCTTCCTCTGACACACAGCTTTGTTCTAGGACTCCCAGAAAACAAGGGGATCGTTTTCATTTTATATTTTGCAGAACAGCAGTCCTTCCTACTCTCTTCCTTCTCCCTCACACCAACCCCCACCCAGGGACTGAGCAAAGTTAAAGCAGGAATGTGTGCTCTCTTTTTATTTATCGCCTCGCTTCACTTCATTAATGGTGTAAAAATGCATTATTACAATACATTAGCATGTTAATAAGGGGACGGGAAGAGTCTTGGAATTTGCAAGCAGAGGAAGAAATAATTGAATTAACGTCAGAAACTCAAAGGGAAGGAATGTGGGAAAGAAACATCTCCATTGTAAAGACCCAAGAGTCATTACTTTGTCTAGATCTGGAAAATTTGAGGAGGGTGGAGCGGGAGCAACGTTTACGGGGCCGGCGAGGTACCACAGTTATGGCCAGGTTTCATGAAGCTGGCTAGCACGGGTCATTAAGCTCCTCGAATGTGAAAAAGCTTCACGCTTACCAACTCAAGGTTACAGTTGTACAGCAGTGGTGTATGGAATGGGCTAAATGGACAGGCTGTAGAGTGTGTCCTACAGACAGCTCTGGTTAATTCCTATCACGGAAGTCAAAATTCTCCCTTTGGAAAACTTTTAAGCTCCTAATTTTCACAGTCTAAGCAAACATACCTGTGTGTGTGTGTGTGTGTGTGTGTGTGTGTGTGTGTGTGTGTGTGTGTGTATCCTGGAAGTGATTGCCTAAAAATTACACCTCTTTGTCACAAACCAAGATATAAATGTCATTAAAGGATTTTTTTGGCTATGACATAATTAGTATGAGGAGTGCAGAATAAAATATGTAAGGAGATATATCTGTTACTGCTAAAGAATCAACGCAGGTTTTGCTGAGAACTGAGAAACGGGAAAGTATTGTACCCTCTAAACCAGCTGCTATTTATCCTTACAGCATCATTGCACCTGTCACTGAAAAATCTTTCTGTCTCTGTGTGTGTGTGTGTCTGTCTCCCTGTCTCTGTCTCTCTCTCTCCCTCCCTATCCTCTCCCATCCTCCCTCCTTCTTTCCTCCCTCCCCTCTCCCTCTCTTTGTTAGGGTCCTACAGAACTCATCTTAAGAAACTGAAGGTCTTAAAACAGCCACTAGGGGGCCCTAAAGGCATCTCAAAGTGGAAGGCAGAGAAGGCTCTCATTCCTCTGGTTTCTGACCTTTTCTGAGCACCTATTGCAACTGGGATCTAAAGACACCTCAAGAATGAACAAATAAGGTCTTTGACTTAGAAGTCAAGGATTTGTTTCTACCTTTTCTGACATCCGAAGCACTCACTCCTCCCCAAAGTGAATTTTGCAACTATTGAGGGCAGTCTCTCAAATTCAACCCAATAATCTCTACCTTTCCAAACTAGGCTCACTCTCCTAATTGGATGGGGCCTGTTTTTGGAGTGATTGAACATTCCTCAAGAGCTGGGTACTTAGGCGATTGAATCTTTGTAGAGTGAATATAAGTAAGGTTAAGATGTTCTTTAGGAGAGTTGAGAATACCCCCATAGCTCAGGCCACAGAAACTGAATTGTTCTCCAGCCAATGCTGGAAACAATATTCTACCTAGACATGCTTCAAGTGAAAATTTAATCACCAGGCATGAATCATTTCTCTGTCATTCTGGCCAATAATCAAAAAGCATTCCTGGGCAAAACAACATGTACAAATCAGGGAAACACAGGAACGAAGCTACTTGGTGAAGAATTAAAAAATGTTTTAAAGCCACCAAATTAACACTAATGAAAGTGTTATTTGAACATAATTTAACTGAAAACAAAACAAGTCCAGAAGTGAGACATGAAAGAGAGTATGAGGATAAAGTCTTTCTGTGTGGGATGAAAAAAAAAATTATGTTTCATCATCAAGTTCATTAAGCAGGCTGGATACAGGTGATCCCAAAATAGCATTATTAACTTCTGGAAGACTTGCTACCTCGAACCACAGAGTCCGATAATTAGAATGGATTTGGCTCTAGACAGAGGATGGTGTTGTCTAGAGGAATGAGGATATATTTACTCATTGGCTGTGAGAGGCTATCAGAGTCAAACCTTGTCAAGCAGATAGCTCCCTGGACATCTTGTGATAAAACAGAACAGGAAAGGGAGATCCCTCTATGAGCAAAAGAAGAATGTGTTGGTGGTAAAGAGGTCAACAGGAAGGGCTAAGCAAGAGTCTTGCCTCAGATCCTGGCAAACAAGCTAGTGTGGCATAAGAACCCAAGGCAAAAAGGTGCTGTGTTCTGAAAATAACAGGTGGAAATGTGAGTTAAAAGGGAGATGACAGGGTGGCCATATTTAAAGTTCCTGCTCCCTGACCCCTTTTATTTATCAAAACAACAAAAACAAAAAAAAAAAAAAAAAAACTGCAGAGTTAGATTACTTGGGAATCTTGTTATAAGGCAGAGGCTGATTCAGTAGCCCGGGCTTCTGCATACTAAGCAGAGCTGTCCATGGACCACACCTAGAGTGGGATGTAGAAGATATCTATTAACAGCAACTGTCCTCCTTTTCCTATTTCACTCACTCAGTATGCCTCAAAAGGTAAACCCAGAGGCAAGGACTGGGATGTAGGAAGCTAATTCGGGAGGTGACTCCAAAAAACTCCAAAAAGCAGAATTGGGTGCTTTCAGTGTCCCTCAGCAGTCAAATACTTTGTCTCAGACACTTGGTTATGATAGCCACAAGTGAACCAAGGCATGGGTGAGATGTTAGAAAATGAAACAGAGAAGAGGAAAAGACTAATAAGGGGTAAATGAAGAAGTGCTCAGTCTCAGTCAGTCCTGAGCGGATGCTGAAAGAGATGGGACAGATTAGCACCGCCCAGAATGATCTGTACCTGCTCTCTTTCACATTGTAGCCACTAATCCTCGTGACTATTGAATATTTGAAAAGAGGATGCTGTGATCTTTTAGACTGTTAATTATTTTAAATTAAAGCAGCTACACAAGGCTTAATGGCTACTGTGCTGGACACAGCAGATATGGAACATAGCTCAGAATAATCCCACTAGTCCAAAAACCTAGAGCACTAATTTACCCAATCCATTCATGGGTTAAAGGTTGCCCCTGGAACTGACTGACTCCTGGGGTTTCTCCTATACTCCTATATCCAGAGAATCACCGAAGCAGAGTTGTAGGTGCTTAAGGTGGGAACACTTCAGGGTGCATGAAAACTGCCCACCATGGCCAGAACTGACAACCAAGGTGTACCACAGGGAGTGAAAAAAGACAATGACAGCATTTGCCAAAAGAAGTGCTATGGATAAAGCTTAGTGGGTAGAGGGCCAGCCTGTGTGAAAGAGGCTCACAAACCTGTCATCCAAGACACTCCA